GATGGGGGTGTCGGGGCGCGGCGGGAGCGTGGGGGGGGGGCGTCGGTGGGTTCCGGGCGAGAAATTGCGGGGTGGGGGGTCCCAAGAACGGAGCTGCCGTGGATGGGGGTGCCAGGGCGTGGTGGGAGCGTGGGGGGGGGGCGTCGGTGGGTTCCGGGCGAGGGATTGCGGGGTGGGGGGTCCCAAGAACGGAGCTGCCGTGGATGGGGGTGTCGGGACGTGGTGGGAGCGTGGGGGGGGCGTCGGTGGGTTCCGGGCGAGAAATTGCGGGGTGGATGGGGTGTGTCGGGGACGTGGTGGTGGAGCGTGGGGGGGGGGTGCGTCGGTGGCTTCGAGGCGAGAAATTGCGGGTTGGGAGGTCCCAAGAACAGAGCTGCCGTGAGTTGGGGTGTCGGGACGTGGTGGGAGCCTGGGGGGGGCGTCGGTGGGTTCTGGGCGAGAAATTGCGGGGTGGGCGTCCCAAGCTCAGAGGTGCCGTGGATGGGGGTGTCGGGACGTGGTGGGAGCGTGGGGGGGGGCGTCGGTGGTTCCGGGCGAGGAATTGCGGGTTGGGGGATCCCAAGAGCAGAGCTGCCGTGGATGGGGGTGTCGGGACGTGGTGGGAGCGTGGGGGGGGGCGTCGGTGGGTTCCGGGCGAGGAATTGCGGGCTGGGGGATCCCAAGAACAGAGCTGCCGTAGATAGAGGTGTCGGGACGTGGTGAGAGCGTTGGCCTGGGCGTCGGTGGGTTCCGTGCGAGAAATTGCGGGTTGGGCGGAGAGGCATTGACGGGTGGTGAAGTGTCAAGGAGTGAGGTGTCGATGGCATTCGTGTAGGCTTAGCACAAAGGATATCGCACACGCCTCTAGGGTCGGCGGATTTTCCTCCTCCTCCTGCTCCTCGTATATGGTCCAGGGCTTGGGCCCTCCCCCCCGCCAATGCTGATGCCATTGGGCCCTCCCCCCCCGCGCGATGGTCCCCCCCGCCCGCCCCTGTGGGCGTGGCGTGGTGTTGCGCTGCGGTGCCCCCCTCCCCCCCCCTGTGGATGTGGTGTGGTGCTGTGCTGGTTCAGAGGTGGGCGTGGCGTGGTGCTGCGCTGAGGTGCCCCCCTCCCCCCCACCTGTGGATGTGGTGTGGTGTGGTGCTGTGGTGGTTCAGAGGTCGTCGTCGTCGTCGTCGTCCTCGTCGTCCTCGTCGTCCTCGTCGTCCTCGTCGTCCTCGTCGTCCTGGTCGTCTTCGTCGTCGTCGTCGTCGTCCTCATCGTCGTCGTCGTCGCCGTCGTCATCGTCGTCGTCGCCGCCGCCGCCGCCAGCGTCGTCGCCGCCGCAGCCGTCATCGTCGTCGTGGTCGTCGTCGTCGTCTCCGTCGTCGTAGTCGTCGCCGTCGTCGTCGTCGTCGTCTCTGGGACCATACCATCTGGGGGGGGGGGGGGCCCGAGGAATCCTGGGACCATACCATCTGGGGGGGAGGGGCCTGTGGGCCCGGAGCCCGGGATCATATATCTGCCCTTGCTCCTTCTCCCACTCCCCGTCCCGCTCCCCCCTTCCGATTCTGACGCCCGTCTTGACCTCCCAATCCGCCCCTCCCATCCTCCCTTCTTCCTCCTCCTTCCCCTTCTTCTCCTCCTCCTCCCCCCTCATTCCCCTCTCCAGATGCTCCCTCCTCCTCCCCTCCTCCTCCTCCTCCTCCTCCTCCCCCCCCTCCTTCCACCGCCTCCCCTCCTCCTCCCCTTCCTCCTCCCCCTCCGCCCCTCTCCAGATGCTCCTTCCTTCACCGGTCGGGGCGGCGGTGGAGCTGGCCGTGGCCGCCCTCGACGCCCTGAGTGCGGTCGGCGCGCCCGCGGGGCGTGGCACGGCTAGGCTCCCGGGTGCGCCGCCGTCGCCTCGCCGGTCGTCCGTCCCGCTCTTCGCCGGCGTCGTCGTCGGTTTGTCGCCTTCGTCGTCGACCTCATCCTCATTGTCCTTTCACTCCGATGGAGGAGGGGGAGGGGGAGGGGGAGGGGGAGGGAGGGGAGGGGAGAGGAGGAGGGAGGAGGAGGGCAGGAGGAGGAGGAGGAGGAGGAGGAGAGGAGGAGGAGGAGGAGGAGGAGGAGGAGGAGGAGGAGGAGGAGGAGGAGGAGGAGGAGGAGGAGGAGGAGGAGGAGGAGGGGGGGGGCCTTCGGCCTGCCTCTCCTCCTTCCCATGGGGCCCCCAGGCCAACCCAGTCCGCGGTGTTGAGCCCCCAGCTCTCCGAGCCGAGACCATCCGTTGGCCCGCTCCCACGCGGACCAGGCTAACCAACTTAGGCCAGCCACCTGCCACTCCACGCCCCTGAACCTTGCTGATGTCTTGAAAGATCCAGGTGTTCACGATGACCTTCGTCGTCGGATGCCCCCTGTTCTGCGCCTCCAGCTTCGGACTGAGGTGAACACTGTGCCACTTGCGATGCCAACCTCGTGTGCCGCGGTCCTCGGCTTTGCTGCTGCGCGGGCGCGAGGCCGACTGGTGCGCGGCGCTGCAGGCGCGCCTGGTGCGGGGCTCCCGGCAAGGTTCCTGAATACGCCCCCACTCCCGCCCCCCCCTCCCTTCCCCGCTCCCTCCCCCCTCCTCTGCCCGCCTCTCTCTGCCGCTGGGCTTCTTCGCTGGGCAAAAGGGCGCCCTATCCTGCGTCCACCGCGGCGCCACGCACCCACGGCCGCGGCGGCCTTCGCGACGCCGACCGGCAGGTCCCCATGGAGTGCTTGGCGGGCGCGTTCCCAAGAGCCGCGCCCGCCCCTCGTAAGCCCCTCGTAAGCCCCTTGTAAGCCCCTCGTAAGCCCCTCGTAAGCCCCTCGAGAGCCGCGCCCGCCCCTCGTAAGCCCCTGCGGCAGGCACGCCTCCCACGGGAACGGCAGGCAAATGGAGGAGGAGGAGGAGGAGGAGGAGGAGGAGGAGGGAGGAAACGAAGAGCAGGACGAGGAGGCAGGCGGAGGGGGAGCGGCAGGGCGCGGGCGAGGAGGAGGAGGAGGAGGAGGAGGAGGGAGAAGAGGAGGAGGAGGAGGAGGAGGAGGAGGAGGAACGGGATAATGAGGAGGCAGGAGGAGCGAGCAGGATGAGGAGGAGCGAGCAGGAGGAGGAGGAGGAGGAGGAGGAGGAAGACAGCAGGATGAGGATGAGGCCTCTCGATGGCTTGGCATTCTTGGGGCCAAGCTTGGTTGTGGACAAAACGCCTCTTTGGGAGGCTGCTTGGGGTCTCTTGGGAGGCCTCTCGGCGGCCTCTTGGCGGTTTCTGGTACCTGTTAAGGCCTTTTGAGGGGGTCGCCTCCGAGGGCCTCTTGGGGGCCTCTCGGGGGCCTGCTGGCGGTGGTGGGGATCATCTTTCGGGGGCAGTTTCAACATGTCAGTTCGGATTCCCCCTCTTGGACCCATCTTGGGAGCCCCTGGAGTCCTCTTGGGAGAGCTCCGTGGCCGTCGTGGCCCCCTGTTCAGTCGTCTTGGGGCCGTCCCGGGAACCTCTTGGTCTGACTCAGGGAACCTCTTGGTCTTGCTCTGAGTTTCTTGGGCCGTGTTGGGCGGTCGGAAGCCCGAACGGGCGGTGACGCCCAAATCCATCCTGAACCAAAGGGAAGTCAAAGAAGTTTAGCCTCAGGGGGCCCTCTTCGGCCTGTCCAGGACCACCTTGGGGCTATATATCGTGGGAGTGCTGTCGGGCCATCCTTAGGCCTGCCACCTATTGATCGCGACTCTTGAGCCCTCTTCGAGCTCCCTTGAGGGTCTCTTGGGGCGCTCCCGGGCGATCTTGAGGGCCCCGAAGACCGCCCCGCCGGAGTTCCAGTATCTGTGACACCCACCGCCCAGGAGTTGTCTGGGGTCCGCTCAGGGTATTTTTCGGCAGGGGAACCCTGGGTGCCGCCATGCGCGCGCGAACCATATCTAATGACACTCGGCCCATCCCGCCGCCTGGGTTGTGGGTATGAACAGCCACTTGGTGTTCGTTGGGATCTCGTGGGAGGCCTTTCGGAGACCTCCTGGCAGCAGTTTTGAGGTCTATCGGGGGTCGTTTTGGAGCCCCTTGCAACCTTTTTGGGGCTTCTTCGGGGCTTCTTGGGGCCTCTTGGGGGCCTCTTGGGAGCCTCTTGGGGCCTCTTGGGCGCCTCTCAGGGCCTCCTGGGGGCCTCTTGGGGCGGAAGGCTAGGATTTTCGGTTCGTGCTCCCTCTCTTGGACCCCTTTGGAGCCTCTGGTGGCGCTCTCAGGCCGTCTTGGGGCCCTCTTGGAGGCCTCTTGGGCCGTCTTGGTGTGGTCTTGGGGGCCTGCTAGGCCGTCTTGGAGCGTCGGGAGACAGAAAAGGCGAGAAAGTCCATCTCCTTCCATAGCCTAACCGACATTCATGGTTTTGCATCTTGGGGCCCTGTTGAAAAGCCTCTTGGGCGTCTTGGAGGCCTCCTGGGCCATCTTGAGGCCATCTCAGGCGTCGTGGGGCGATCTTTCGGCGTCTCGGGACCCTCTTGGACCGTCTTGAGGGCTTCGCGGGGCCCTCTTGGCCCGTCTTGGGGCTCTCTGGGGCCCAACACATTCACGTACCACAGCGCGGAGGAGCCCAGGCCGTACGCGGGAAGCCCAAGGAGAGTTCGCAAGTTTCGGTCCGGGCCCTGTAAAGACTCTTCAGGAGTGAGAGTTGAGACTAGAGGATGAGGGAAAGGACATGAGGGCACGCCCACTCCGTGTCCAGAGGCACGGTGGAGAATCTGTATCGGAGGTTGGGGGGTGAGATCGCAGTGAAACGGAGACCCCCCACCGGGAAATCGGTTTCGTGTTCGTGTCGTGCGTGCGGGCGAGGCGAAGCTGCGCGTGATCCTCCGGCAGCTAGGCCGAAGTAGGAGCGAAAGTCCGTTCCCGTCCGCCGGTGGTTGGGAGTTGTCCCAGTTGGGCCGGGCGGTGTCCCGGGTGTCCCGGGTGTCAGTAGGAGCGAAAGTCCGTTTCCCGTCCGCCGGTGGCCGGGAGGTGTCCCAGTTGGGCCGGGCGGTGTCCCGGGTGTCCCGGGCGTCCTGGCGCTAACGCATGTCGCTAATTTCATAATTCATTTTTGTCGGCGCCTGCGGCGGGCTCTCTTATCCAATCCAGCTTATATTTTCCAATCCATCTTGTCCAATCCAATACATATTATCTTATCCAACCCATCTTGTCTCATCTTATCTTACCCCACCCAATCCAATCCACCCAACCCAATTCATCAATTCATTTGTTTATGCGCCTGCGGCGGGCCAATCCAATCCATCTTATCTTATCCAATCCATTTCTTCCAATCCAACCCATCCCATCTGATCCAATCCATCTTATCCCATTAAATCTAATCCACCCAACCCAGTCCATCAATTCATTTTTGTCGGCGCCTGCGGCGGGCTTTCTTATCCAATCCAGATTATCTGATCCAATCCCTCTTGTCAAACACGATCCATCTTATCTTAACCAACCCATCTTGTGCCATCTTATCTTGTCCCACCCAATCCAATCCATCCAACCAAATCCAGGCTGGAGGTCAGTCAGGGTGGGCATTTGATCTTAATCCCCCCAACCTCCTTATCGCCCGCAGGGCGGTCGTATAGGTATACATACATTCCTATTCATTTTTTTACCCAGACCCCCCCCCCCCTAAACCAGACCCCCCCCCCAGGGACGCCCTGGGCGCCCTTTCGGACGTCTCAGCGGCCCCCTGGACGCCCTTGGAAAAGGTCCGCTGGCCCTTCTGGGCCTCCCAGGGCGCCTTGCTGGGCCTTGCGAGCAGACTCAAGGCGATCAGAGGGTCGTCGGAGAGGCGCAAGAGAGACCCAAGACAGTACAAGAGCGCTCCAAGAGGAACCTCGATGTTCTCAAGACCGCCCAAGAGGCCTCCAAGACGGCCCAAGAGGCCCCCCAGAGGGTTTGAAGACGGCCCAAGAGAGCCCCAAGACTGCTCCAGAGAGCCCCGAGACAATCCGCGAGAAGCCCAAGATGCCCCCAGAAGGCTCCCAAGAGAGATCCACGCAAGCCATGGGAGACCCCCAAGAAGGCCATTAGAGGCCCCCAAGAAGGCCCTAGATGGCTTCAGAAGACCTCTGGAGGGCCTCAGCTCCCCAAGACGGCCCAAGAAGGCACCGGGACGGCCCAAGGGGGGGACGGCCCAAAGGAGCACTAAAAACACCCAGACGGCATCCCCTACAAAACACATCGAGCTGACCCGACGATCTTGGTTCCACGCTTGAGGCTCGAGGTTTAAGTTCCTCGATCGAGAGATGGATCTAGATTTTAAGTCCGACGACCGAAGATTTCCTGAGTGCCTGGAGCCCCCCAGGCATTCAGGAAGCTACCAACATAGATTTATTCTGAGTTACTGCGACTTCTTCGGCGTGGAACGCTCCTTACTTCCTCAAAGGACCTTCGCGCGTGAAAAAGTCATCATTCCTTCCCCACTCCTGCGAACAATCGTGCAAGCGCATCGGGCGAACGCGGTGTCAGCAGGCACCAGGGAGATCAGAAGAACGAGCTGGTCGCTCGTCCAGGCTTCGAGGTCCCACCCGCCGAAGCAAGCGATCATTTATTGCTTTGCCGGGGAAGGTCCGGAACAACGCGCACGGCGCGAAGCGCCAATGCAGTTTTGTGTATATATATATATATATTATATATACACATACACGATGTACATGCTGCCATCGGTTTTTGCACGCCTCCTGCCCGTTGGGCAGGCGAATTGTTAAATGAACGCGAGTGTGCGGAAAGACGAGAACACACGGGAACCATGCTAAACCTCGGTTGCGGCAGTTGTGTGGGAACACAATTGCACATATAGAGTTGCAACTATATGACCCTGATAGCCTCGACGTCTGGCGGCACGGCCCGCACTGACAGACGTGTGCACTGTGCGCATTGTTTGCGGTGAACACGCCACCATCCATCGGAATCCAGAACACACGTACTATGGAAACTCAATTTGCGACCTAACGATGTGACATTGACAGTGCTCTGGTTCAGCTTTACTGTAAATTGGCTGATGCGTGTTGATACGCACCATCTCACACAGAACAACAAAAGCCAGCCACCAACACTTCAGCCTGACCGTGCTTTCATGGATGATGCCACAAAGTGCAGGTAACACACGGGCGATGTATCTTTTAAGGTTTGCCCGCACTTTGAAGCTAAACCCGTCGTGGACCACGTGGGTCAGCGGCATATGCCTTTCTTGCCCCGTAGTGCCTGGGCCAGGCTGGCTTTCCTCACCTTTATGCTATCTACCACTGCGTGGCACGCGGTTGGCCGCCATCGCGGTCACCCCGACGCCCACCCAGCGCACGGCTGCAATCGAGTCACCATCTTCCATGGTGGCCAGGCTCGCGTTGCGCTGCCAGCTCCACCCTGGTGCACGCATCTGCCTCCTGGATCGCTGGTCGCCAGGCCAACGCGTCGATCATCATGGGCATGCGCGCCTCGCTTCGGGCGCCATCCACCCGCCGCTGTGCCCCCAGCGACATCAGCAGCCAGGCGGTGTTTGGGCGCCCCTCTGCGTGGCCCTCGATGTCGACAGTGTCATTCCCAAGTTTGCCGACAGTGGCTCGGGCGCAAGACCCAGCGCCGCGGCCCCCTGCTCAGAGAAGAACGCTTTAGGAGGAGGAGGAGGATAAGGAGAAGGAGGGAGGAGGGAGGAGGAGGAGGAGGAGGAGGAGGAGGTGGAGGAGGAGGAGGAGGAGGGATGGATGAAGAGGAAGGCGGAAGGGGAGAGCGGAGCGAGGCAGTATGAGGTTGAGGACGAGGGCGAGGACGCACGAGGATGAGGATGAGGATGAGGATGAGGATGAGTATGATGATGATGACCAGTGTAAACCCAGAATTCATCAACGATATTGCAACGAACCTTTCCTCCACGTTCCCTTTTTTCATTGGCCCCTACAAGGGTTCATTCTCACTCTTGGAAGTGCCCCGTTGGAAGACATCCGTTTGAACATCCTGACCTGCGCCAGAACACCATTCTTTCGATGCCAACGCCACGAGTTACCGTTACTGTTGCGTCTTGACGGTCGCGAATCGCGTCAGAACGCCGTTCCTGGGATTTCAACACGTGAATCAATGTAATTGTTGCGTCCTGAGAGTCCGACGTCGTTCCCAACAGCCATGCCTGGGACGTTAGTCATGGGAATCCTTGAACGTGGTGTAAGCTCTTCAAACGTATCTGCGTGGATCCAGAGCGATCACCCCACATGTTCAAAAGGGACCGACCCCCCATTCGTGAAACTCTTGCTGTTTTTGTAAGGCGAATGTGCGCAGCGCCAAGGCGAGAGCCACATGATGGAAGCGACCCGCCATCCATCCGCGACGCTCTGGCACACTTTAAGACGACTGTGCGCTGCGCTAAGGCGAGAGGCACATGTTGAAAACCACCCGCTCCATATCCGTGAAACCGTTGCACTTCTTGAGACGAACGCGCGCGGCGCCAAGGCGAGATCCACACTGTGAAAACCACCTGCCCTCCATCCGTTCAAGTCCTGCAGGTGTTCCGCTCAATGACCCTACACGGTGAGGAAGGTACTGGTGACGCGCCCTGCCCGCCCTACCGACACGCCTTGGGGCGCGACGGGGAGATGTCATCTATAAGGGAAGAGGAACTGAGAGAGGAAGCGGAGGAAGAGGATTAGGGGGTGACATGCGAACCCTGCCCCTATCCCCCACGATTTCTGAGAGGGAGGGTGGGTTTACTTCGGTAGGGAGCTCCTGAGCGAAGTGAACCCCACCCTCCCCCTCAGAAATCGTGGGGGGTAGGGGTAGGGTTCGCACTCACATGGCCTCCTAAGGAAGTGGAGGAAGAGGACGAGGCGGAAGCCCCTCGCCGAGGCTCTGGCAGGTCCAGGGGGCCAAGCTGCAGCCGCTGGCGCGGGCGGGGGGGGCCGCCGGGGCCCGGCGGGTGGCCGCCGCGGCGAAGCTGGTGGCGGCCGCCGCTCCGCGGGCGAGGCACACCGTGAAGACCGCCGTGAAGCGGAAGGCTCGGGTGAGGACGGAAGCGGAAGGCTACGGTCGAGGATTTCGGCTGAGCGTGTCGCACCCTTGGTCCGCCTGAGGCCCCGCCCGCCTGTGCTCTGTCTCCCCAATCAGAGCTTTGCGAGGCCCGCCTAGCTTTTCACCGGAAGAGGCTCGCTCTCGACCCGCAGACCAAAAAGTGTCGCGCCCCTGGTTCTGGCCCACCGCGATTCTGCGCGACACGCGGGCCATCCTTCTACTTCCGAGCAGCAGCGTCCCGAGCCCTTCCTGGCCTCCCGCCCCGCAGAGCGGGGCGGCACGCTACCAGCTCGCGGGGCACAGCGTGCAAGGAAAGGCGGCGGAGGAAAGAAGGCACAGCATGGAAGTAAGCATACTTCTATCGCGACACAGCAAGGTAGGAAAGACGGCGGAGGAGGAGGAGCACAGTCGCGGTTTGAGGATGGAGGCTTGAGAATTCTGGACTTCGTTTTTGTTGGCCCTCTGAGGTCTTCTGTTCGCCATGGTTGGATTCACATCGAAGTTCTGGTCAACACGCCCTCCAGGAAAGTCAAGAGGTTAGATTATTAGGAGAGAGGAGGAGGAGGAGGAGGAGGAGGAGGAGGAGGAGGAGGAGGAGGAGGAGGAGGAGAAGCAGGATAATGTGGAATAGGAGCAGGAGGAGGAGGAGCAGTCGCAGGAGCATAAACATGAGCAGCATCGTGTTTCTCGCTAGCGAGGTCCTCGCTGCAGGAGGACGAGGAGGAGGAGAAATCAGGCTTTGGAATGTTTTTGATTGTGGGGCCGTCTTCAGGACCCCAGACCAGGATAATACAACCCGCGGCAAAAGAACGGGTCCCAGGTCGAGAGAAGAAGAACGCAATACGTCGGCCTGGCGCCAGGAGGAGGAGGATGAGGAAGAGGAGGAGGAGGGAGGAGGAGGAGGAGGAACAGGAGGAACATCAGCAGCACGAGGATGTGGGGATGAGGAAGAGGCGAGAGGCGAGAGGATGAGGAGGAGTGTGATGAGTATACGGGGAGGAGCATATGAACGAGGACGAGGACGACAACCATGAAGAGGACGAGAAAGATGAAGACGAGAATGAGGAGGAGGAGGAGGAGGAGGAGGAGGAGGGGAGATGAGGAGAGAGTGAGGAGGGAGGACATAGGAGAGGAAAGGAAACAGGGGGAGATGGGAGAGAGGTCAGGCTAGGCACGCTCGCGCCATGTGTGACATCCTGCCTGTCCCGCCCATCCCTTCCCATTGTGCTGATGCTTCTCTGTCCGCCGACGGGCGTCACAGCGGACGTGACACCCCGAAAGGACCCTGCCGTGTAGTGCGCAATCAGAGGTGTGAAGTTGCATACATCGCGGCAGGAATGAGCAACATGAGGTATGAACTTACCAAAGCCCTCGAAGTCCCTGACACTAAGAAACATACGCAATAACGAATAACATCGGGATGTTCTCACACCGCTGCGCTGGTGACTCAAGGGCCCTATCAAGGTTTGGGCCAAAGGACAGCACGGTCCGGGCTGCAATTTGCCCCCAGCTCGTGATTATAATGCAGTGCATGCTCTGCTTTTCTCTTGCTATGCTGCCTACACAGATGTACGTCGAAGGGTAAAACAAATTGCGGGAAACGACACTCCCTAGATATGAAGTGTGAAACACCGAAATTCCACTGATTTGAAGCGCAAGGAATACTGCTAGCAAAGCATAGAGCACTAAGCAAAGGGTGAGGCTTCATTCACGTGAAGCTCGTCTTGGCGTCATCTCTCGGTGACTTCATCTCGTTATACTGTATGCTGGGTTCCTCCATCTCGATGGTGATCCCGCCTGCTCTCTTGAACCCTTGCGTTTTGTGGCAGAACCGCCACTGGTCGCCCATCAAACAGTAGGTAACCATGCTCTGGACTCCAATTGTCCGCTGTCGAATCTTCTGGTACTTGCAGTCGCTGTTCTTGTTGTTGCTGATCGTCTCCTTGGCCACGGTCTGATCGAACTTGTCGCTGGATTCCGTCTAGATCGGGGTTGGAGTAGTGCCTTGTTGGTCCACAAGCTTCTGTAGCAAGTAGTAGGTCACTGGCATGGCCACCAGCATACCCATCATCATAAATACTAATGCGTCCCGGGCACCTCCAGAAAATCACGAAGATGTCATTGCCTCGTCGTAGTGGTACCTGTACCCGTTGTTGTAGCCGTCCTCTGTGTACGTAGCCACTGACTTGCAACAGCATGTTGCAAAGACTGCCAACTGCATTAGTGGTGACCTGGATGACCTCGTAGCTGATGACATCTCCAGTCTACTCGTCTTGATGATATCCTGCCTCTCTGCTTTGGTCTTTCTCTTGGCTGCGGTATAGGTAGGGTCATGTTGAAGCTGTAGCCGTCCAGCTCGACGCCTGTCCGCGAATGGCTGCCGTGCTGCCAACATTGTGAGTCCATCTGCGTATTGACGCTCTGAAACATCCCATTTCCACTGCGTTCTCGTAGCTTCAATCCGCTCGTGTAATGCTAGAACTTCGATGCCAGTACGCTTGTCCTGGAAGCTGGAGATGCTTTCCTTCTTGGCTGCGTCGTACAGTGCCTTGGCATCGATCACGAGTGCTGATTATCCTGCGTAGTGGGTGCTGCTGTCGTCGTTGATGTCCACGTTGTCGTAGATGAGTGCCGCCCAGAACCGACCGCTTCGTGAACTCCAGTGCGTCCATCCCTGCTGCCGCCGCCTGAGATTCCGCATGAAGCGGAGACCGTGTTTCCCTACGCCGACGTCGCCGATGCATCGCCGACGTCGACGATGCATCGCCGATGCATCGGCGATGCATCGGCGGCGATCCTCCGACCTCATCGACTCGGACCCCATCTAGGAGGCCTCCATCATTGGCGTCTACTGGCTGGCCCTTCGTTATCCTTGTGAGTTTGAAGCACTTTCAATCATCGACGCTGAAATCCGAGTCCTCGCCGTTGAGAACTTATGAATGACACGTCATAATCACGTAGCCTCCTTGACTAGATCCGTCTTTCCGTATTTCCCACGCTGCGCCCGTCATTGCCACCAAAATTATGTCATTGACCTTCCTGATCTTCGTCATCCTCAGTCCCACGTCCGCATTCTGCTTCTAGAACCCTAGCGTCTTGTTAAACTCCTTCGCTGTCGCCACTGTTGTCGTAGGAAGTTGCCCTTGGTGGATGTTGACCGATGCTGAGGTGTGTGGGCACGCCTGGGAACTTGGCCACTGTAGCGCTCCTAACAATCCTCGAAGTTGTCGTATCTTGTTAGGGTTAAGTAGACGGTCGTTGTCGCCATTCTTCTGGTCGATCGTGATCGGCTTGAGGTTGGAGGCGTACGTCTGCATCTTGATGTAGATCTCGGTGCTATTGGGCTGTGTGTTGTCCCAGTGAGTCGTTTGGTGTGGGTCCGATCCGCAGTACTCCATCTTGTCCTCCTCGATCCACTTCCGAAACTTGAACTTGCTCTTGACTGCCTCGATGATAGCGCTGTAGTTGCTTCCGTGCCGGCGACCGCCTCCTCCAAGCAGCTCGTCCACATACAGTAGTTAAGACCGTCGCAGGTTTCATCCTTGTCGTAGCTCACGAATAGACACGAGTCCAGTGGGTGTTGCTTGAGGCCGCTGGCCTTGAGGTCGTCAACTGCTCGTTGCCACCAACGTCGTGGTGCATTCACCTGTCCGCACATGGGCTTGATCAGCTTCATCAGCGTGTCTGGCTCGATGCCCATGAGGTCTGTTGCGTCTCGAGGTGTTTTCGCGTAGAGTACTCGTTCTTGGGGTCCCCTTTGAAGAAATGCCGTAGCCACGTCTGCGGTCCACAGCCTCCATCCGTTGTTCACCGCCAGTTGCATAGTCAGCTGACGTCCCAATCTCGATGTTGTAGGTGATGCCGTTGGTACCTTATAATCGAGTGCGTCTGGGTCGTTGAAGCCCTGGAGTACTAGGCGTGCATTGGCTCTTGGAGGGCCATCGTCGTTCTTGCTTCACTTCAATACTCACTTGGCCTTCAGGATACGCTTGTGATCGTCTGTTCCTGTCGGCTTGTGGAATTCCCAGACCCCGTTGCCGAACAACTCATCTAGCTCATCCCTTTTACCTTCCATAAACGCCGCTCTCTCGTGAGGTGTCATGCTCCTGGTGCTGACCTCAGCGTAAATGTTGTTCAGTTTGGCGTCCTTGCCGTCGAACTCCCATCCAAACGGTCGGTCCTCGTCCTCTAGCATGAGTTGCATAGCCGCGAGCTCGTTGTCAGCACCGTCGTCGCCCACTGGTTGGGCAACTGATGTCGCGTCTGACATTGGTGGTCCTCGGTAAGCTCCTCCAGGTGGGGTGAAGATGTAAGCTTCAGCCGCGTCCAGTCGCCTGCGACTCTCCCTTAGGCTAGAGTTCGCCGTAGCAAACGTAGGTGCCTGTGTCGCCGCTCCTGAAGATGCCGACATTGCTGGGCCCAACGTCGCTGGTGTTGGTGCTTGTGGTAGCGACTGCTCTTGAGTTCGTGGGGATGGTTGTGGTTGCTCGGCTGGCGTTGTCGTCTTGGTAGGTGGCGTAGTAGGCATTGGCTCCTGGTCCGTTTGACCTTCGCTCGGTGGAGGCGTGTGCCGGGGCGTCTCTGCTTGCCCCATTGGCTCATCCTCCGAGGGACTCGGCAGTCTTGGAGGGGCAGGCGGTGATGGCGATGTTGCCATCGATGACGAAGCCGCCGCTCCTGTGGTTGCTGCCGTCGCGGTTGGTGCCGGAGCCGATGGCGGTGGTGATCCTCTCTGCCTTTTTAATGGTGGCCCGTCTCCTGGTCCGTCGTCGTCGTCATTGATGTCCATGTTCGAATCGCCGGGTGCGTCGAACGGCTGCTGATGCGAGCTGACGTCGTGGAACTGCGTAACCCTTGTCCTCTTCATGTTTCCCAGGGTCTCCTTGGCTTGCGTGAGGTTCTCGAGTAGGACGCATCCTTGATCACTCACGTCTGGCCGAATGTCCTCAGGTGCACAGCGTAGCAGCTGCGTGCCATGAACGATCC